CAAACATTCTTCTGAGACCTTCTCTATGAATGTTCTTGCTGAAGAACTTCGCTAAAGTTGATCAAGACAAATGTCGCAAATGGAAACATTCTTCTGAGACCTTCTCTATGAATGTTCTTGCTGAAGAACTTCGCCAGAAGAGACGCCTCAGCGTGTCACTCAAATTGGAAATTAATTCGATCTACGACGATATACGTCAAACATGTAGCTTCTTTCGCTACTCTTGCATTCTGAGAACGATGACTGAACTCCGCAAGAATTACTATCACGAAGTCTGGGATATTCACACCAGGAAAATATCACGATTAATATCAAGACATGAAGATGTCGACGAACACATTACTAACATCTCTTCGTACTCTCTTTTTTCCAAAAACTTGTGCTCTGTCGTGGTTTGAATTTTGCCATCCCTAAAAACGTGTCCTCGATTGATGTTAAGGCCAGCTTTGAGAAAGCCTATTGGAAGCTCGAGCCACGCTTACCGGAAGAATTTCGTGACCTTGCAGCCTCTACTCTACGCTCAGTGGCGCTGAATTATATTCACCGAAAAGGCCCTAAACCTCCACAAACACTCCTGAAAGCCATTCATCAATTGAAGAGGCGAGAGGACATAGTCGTAACAAAATCTGACAAGGGATCTGGCGTCGTGGTCTTAGACAAGGATGAATACCTACTGTTACTTGCTGACGCATCCATAAACAATGCCACCAAATTTAGGATAGTAGAGCCTTAGAGACCAAAGCGTAGAGGTAGACCACCGAAACACTATCCCCCCCTATTGCAAAAGGATAAGGAGCTAGAATCACTTGTTCGCCGAATTCTACCCACTGCAATTGCAGAGTCTGTCCGCCCGTTAGGTACCAGGCTGGCCCATCTTTATGGTTTGCCCAAAACACACAAGAGAGAGTTAGCTATGCGACCTATTCTGTCAGCCACACAGACCTACAATTTTGCCCTCGCCAAATGGCTAGATGACAAACTAAAACCTCTCGCCACAAATCAGTATATGATAAGCGACACCTTTGAGTTCGTGAACGAGATCCACGAAATGGTTATTAACAGTGGAGATATTCTGGTTTCCTATGATGTTTCTTCATTATTTACCAACGTACCCTTGGAGGAGACCATACAACTACTTGCCGATAAGGCTTTCATTAAAAATTGGTTTAAAGTGCACCTAAACCCAAAAATTTTTTTTCGCTTAACGAAATAAGCGTATTTTTTGGAGTATTTCTGTGCAAACATTTTTTTATTTGCTCAAATCTTCAATTGTCTGTGCCCAGTCAAAATACGGAAAATCGGCCGCCATCTTGCCCCACGGTCGAGTTTAAAGAGGAATGGCTCTAGCGGGTAATGTGACGTCAAATCGAGAACACGAAAGTCTGCATTTCACACATTTTCGCTTGTTTAGGAAGGTTGTAGTCGATTTTGTCCGAAATCCGCTGATATTGTTCGTGCCCAACTTAAAGATCTAAGTCATAGGATCCAGACGACCTTACAACCTGTATTTGTTAGCCAGAAGATTGGTCGAGACCTCAAATTGCGAGAAGCTAAGCCGCCGATTGTGAACCAACAGTGCCTTGTTTACAAATTTCAATGTGACCTGTGCGATGCAGGTTATGTTGGTTTCACACGCCGTCATCTACACCAACGTATTGAAGAACATAAAAACTCCTCTTCGTCAATTGGCAAACATTTTCGCGACAAACATTCTTTGACTCCAAAGGATCTTACAAAGAACTTTAGCACCTTAATGAAGTGCACAAACAAATTTGACTGTCTCGTCTATGAGATGTTTTTTATTCACAAGCTAAGACCTGCTCTCAATGTACAGTCTGATTCAATTCGTGCTAAGGTTTTTAATTAGCTTTTTACTAGCACTTTCTTTGTAGTTTTATTGTTTGTTTACACCTGCAAAAATTTTTTTATATTTCGTACGTGTCCATATACATATATTTACTGTATTTCATTCCATTAACTTGACAATGACCGAAGCACGGTCGAAACGTCGTGTTTTACCGTTCATTTTTATCGTCAAAAGTGTAAAGGAAAATTGATGACTTATATTCAAATACACTTGCATAACAACTGGCAAAATAGATAAAAAAAGCATTCTATTTGTTCTTGTTTAGTTTTGCACAGCCATTCGCTTCTTTCGGTGGTATTTTATCTCATTTTTCCTACAAAGAAATTTTAAAATTTTAATTAACTTTTCAACAAAGGTAATATGAACATCGGTATCACCATCTTCAAACGCAACAAAATTTCATCTAGAGTCTACTAAAACGGTTGAGTGATATTGACAGTAGTAGTCTCTGATAAAGTTATTTACACCGAGTCATAAATGATAATTTACGCCATTTCGTATAAATATTTAAAATACACCACACTGCAGCACGTTGACAATATTAAAACTTTTCTACCGTCGAGTGTAGATAAAGACCTTGAAATGTTTCATATAACTAGGCCTTGTTCTCTATTTAGCTCGGAAACATAAACTCTTTGCTCACGTATTTTGCCAAATTTTTCCTCAGTTAGGACCATCCCCGCCACCTGCTATTATAGATAATTAGCCACAAGGCACGCTAAACCAAATCTTACTGTAGAAGCACAGACACTGATATAGCAGTGACGTATCCAGGAATCAGTGAAGCCTTATTATCGTATGAAAGGATTCGCTTTGAGAAAGAGGCTAAAGGTAATTCATAAAATGTGCTATTAGGCCGGTCCTTTATTGAAAAGTGGACCGCATCTGAGCCTCACCTTTAAAGCCGGTTTTCAAATGATCGCCAGGATTTTGAAACAAATGATTTTCTTTTCGATCTTAGTGGTCACACCGGGCAAATACAAGGCTTGTCATTCATTGCAGCCGCGCGCTGACGCAATTGGAAGCTAAATTTAGATTCTTTGCTGTTCTGGTTGTCTCTGCTGCGTGTTTAATATCAAATGTAAATGTGACGGCAACTCAAACTGGGTTTCAAGAAAAGCAAGATGTTCAACTCATCTAAATGATAATTAGGTACTTTGTAGTTCTAATTTTCTAAAATATGATTGGTTTGCCGAAAAAAGAATGGGCTCCGTAAAGCAATTATTTAAAAAAGGATGTGTTATAGCGGAAGATTTTCTTTTTCTTCTAAGCCACATGTCTACTGTTCCTTTTTAGTTCAAGTATGTTAGAAGAGGATTTCTCTTCAGTGCGAACTTCAAGCCTGATCATCTGTATTCTGAATGCCATTTGTTTCTTTCCAGCAGCGCTAGGAAACGGAATCATACTGATCGCTATTCGGCGGACGCCATCTCTACATTCGCCTTCGAACACGTTCTTGTTTGGTCTTGCACTGACTGACTTCCTCGTTGGTTTAGTGACTCAGCCGTTAAATGTCGCCTCCTCTGTCATTTTCCTTGTCGAAAAGGAAGAAGGTCCAATCGCTCTTACATTAGCGTTTGATTTTATCTCTGTTGTATTGACTGCGGCATCTTTTATGATAGCAACTGCTATAAGTATCGATAGGTACCTGGTATTTTACCTGCATATGAGATATCAAGCTATCGTCACCAACAAAAAAGTCGTGGCGATCGTCGTTTTATGTTGGTGTTTATCCTGTTTATTTGGGGTCATTTGGACCCAGAATACCAGAGCCCACTATGTCATTGGAATAGCAAGCGTCGTTATCTCCATTGTTATTGTTTCTCTGATGTATTTTAAAATCTATCGAGTTGTGAGACGTCACCAGGCCCAAATACAATCTCAAGCTCGTTTTGGAATCGCCGCAAAGGAAGTTTCATCGCATTTGCAGTTCGCACGTCTCACTAAGTCTGCTGTGAATACGTTTTACGTTTGCTTCATTCTCTTTCTTTGCTTTTTTCCATACGTTTTTACAGCTGGCTTAATTCAAATGACAGGTCCAAGCCTCACCAAACGTATTGTACTGCAATACACAGGAACCATAGCGTTTATAAACTCGTCGCTGAACCCATTAGTTTACTTTTGGCGGCTTCCTGAAATCCGAAAGGCTATAAAGAGATCTTTACGGTGTTGCTACAGTAGACGTGCAGGCGAGCGACAAGAAAGTAAATGGAGGAGTGAAAAAGCTTCTAACACATAGAGAACTCTGCCATTTCTGATATTGAACTATAGCTCCTCCATCATGATTGTCCGAATGCGCCGAGTTTTTTTTTCTTTAAGGCTCAATAATGTGGCTGGTAGACCTTATACAAAAGATCAGCTTCTTTCACGATATTTCAATGACCAGCAACTGAGTTTGTCGTTTAGTGAATGTTTCATTTCTTCTTCTAAAATCTTAGACCATAGAGGAAACATGCAGGATACAGGAAGGAGGTAACGCTATGTTAGCCAAATAGATCTTCCATCATCTATAATAGATCTTCCGTCATAAGTCTAGGTTTATTTACCGCTAATTTATTCAAACACAATTAGATTTCCGCCGACAACTTTCCCTTTCTGTCGCCTTATCAGCCAAATATGTAATCGCGAAAGTTCTGCTCACAATATTCTACTACATCCTGTACCATTTTAGTACAAACGCAGCTATTTCGCTGTTTGAATCATAAATTATGTACGTATTGACGGAAGGGAAGACCAGACTGGAAAAGATTTGGCCCACAGTCATGAAGTAAAGGCCCTGCACAGCGAGTTCCGTACTTCATGACCGAGAGTCAATATTTTCCCGTTTATTTAAATATTTTCATGCTTTTAAAACAAGCGCGCGCGGTCGCAGGTGAATTTATTTTATCATGAAGACATAACGTCACTGCACTCGGTTTGTAAGTCCAAGCCTTGAGTCAAATATTCATCCATCCACCACTCTAACTCATGCAAGAAGCACGTATTGTAGAGATATTGATGAAATATCACAGTTACTTTTGTTTCTGAAACGTTATATCTTCACAGTGCGCTGTGAACGTACCATTTAAATTCTCTCAAGATAAGAAATCAATGTCGTCATGGTAAACAATCAACTACTTTTAGTTTTTTTTGACGAGTTTTACAAATGTTGCTAAAATTGAATCAAACCTTTCTCTTTTTAGAGAGGAAGACTTTTCTTGCAATAGGAACTTATGCCTTTATGTCTATAATTGGAGAATATTTTCTGTGAGCTGAGTTTCCGTGCAGAAGATAGCTGTTTCTAAAAATTGTATTTGACTCAACTTCTTGTGCCTAAGCACGGAAATTTAGAAGCCATCGTATCCAAGGAGTGCGCGAGATATGAAAGACAAAATGCCGTTGAAAATGAATCAATAGATATTTAAGCGTGCGCGAGATACAAAATAAAAAAATCAAGTAAAGATAATTCTAATAGAGTGCGAGAACAAACTAAACAATCCAATGAAAGAGAAGTCCATGAGATACTTCGATCGATCAATTGGCGAACTAAAGAGAATTTAAAAGCGCGAGAGATACTAACTAATCAATCGAACTGAAGAGAATTAAGAGTGTGCAGAAGATACTGACGAGAAAATAAAACTGACTAAAAAGAATTCTAAGAGTGTGCAAGATACAAAAGAAACAACTCGATTGAAGAGACGGTCAGAGAGCCGGAAATAGAAACGCAACAATCCATGAAATAAAGGGAATTCTAAGAGTCTGACGGTGCGAAATACAAACTAAACAATCCAACATAAAAGATATTTAAAAAGTGCGCGAGATAATTCAATGGATGTATATAGTTGGCAGCGATATGTCCATTATGTGTACTGAAATGAAAAAGGAAGGAAACTCCGCCCTTAAATGTATAAAGAAAATTATTTACTGTCTAACCCAGAAAAACTTAACGCAATAGGGATTAAACAACGCAATGAAACTGAACAGGTTAACATCAATATCGGTGATCAAGCGATTAAGACAACAGATAATATCAAGTTACCGGGCGTGAACTTCGACAAGAATCTAATTTTTAGCAAACATATTAGCCAATTATGCAAGAAGGCCAGTCAAAAGGGGGGCGTTCTCGCCAGGTTGAGAAACTTGGTTACTACGGGGACTAAACTATTACTATATAAAACTGCTAGTAGACCATATCTCACCTGTTGTCATCTCATATAGCATTTCTGTAGGGCGTCGAATACAAGGAAAGTTGAAAGGATTCAAGAGCGAGCACTGAGGATAGTTTATAATTCACATTCAGAAACGTACGTGAACTTATTAGGTCGTGCTAAACTACCTACCCTTCTTAATAGGAGATTGCAAGATATAGTTATACTTATGTATAAGGTTAAATATAGGCTACTTCCTGATTTCATTTGTGACATTTTTAGTCCTAAGTCTTGTAAATATAATTTAGAAATCAAAATTTTTATATTCCTAGGTTTAATTCTGTATTAAAGGCTGATAGTTTCGAAAGAAACTGTTTGGGGCTGCGTCGGTGGGAGTAACGAAATAATTTGGATATATCAACAAAGTTGAAATGGTAAATTGGCCACCGTAATGATTACAAAAGCTGACGTTTCGAGCGTTAGCCCTTCGTCGGAGCGAATAGAGGAATTGTGGGTTGTGTGTGCTTTTAAAGGCAGACATACAAAATAAAAAATCAAGTAAAGATAATTCTAATAGAGTGCGAGAACAAACTAAACAATCCAATGAAAGAGAAGTCCATGAGATACTTCGATCGATCAATTGGCGAACTAAAGAGAATTTAAAAGCGCGAGAGATACTAACTAATCAATCGACCCGAAGAGAATTAAGAGTGTGCAGAAGATACTGACGAGAAAAAAAAACTGACTAAAAAGAATTCTAAGAGTGTGCAAGATACAAAAGAAACAACTCGATTGAAGAGACGGTCAGAGAGCCGGAAATAGAAACACAACAATCCATGAAATAAAGAGAATTCTAAGAGTCTGTCGGTGCGAAATACAAACTAAACAATCCAACATAAAAGATATTTAAAAAGTGCGCGTGCTAACTCAATGGATGTAAATAGTTGGCAGCGATATGTCCATTATGTGTACTAGTATAAAAAAGGAAGGAAACTCTGCCCTTAAATGTATAAAGACAATTATTCACTGTCTAACCCAGAAACACTTAACGCAATAGGGATTAAACAACGCAATGAAACTGAATAGGTTAACATCAATATCGGTGATGAAGCGATTAAGACAATAGATAATATCAAGCTACCGGGCGTGAACTTTGACAAGAATCTAATTTTTAGCAAACATATTAGCGAATTATGCAAGAAGGCCAGTCAAAAGGGGGGCGTTCTCGCCAGGTTGAGAAACTTGGTTACTACGGGGACTAAACTATTACCATATAAAACTGCTAGTAGACCATATCTCACCTATTGTCATCTCATATACCATTTCTGTAGGGTGTCGGATACAAGGAAAGTTGAAAGAATTCAAGAGCAAGCACTGAGGATAGTTTATAATTCACATTCAGAAACGTACGTGAACTTATTAGGTCGTGCTAAACTACCTACCCTTCTGAATAGGAGATTGCAAGATAAAGTTATACTTATGTATAAGGTTAAATATAGGCTAGTTCCTGATTTCATTTGTGACATTTTTAGTCCTAAGTCTTGTAAATATAATTTAGAAATCAAATTTTTTATATTCCTAGGTTTCATTTTGTATTGTATGGTAAACACTCTCTTAGATATATTGGACAATTTCTATGAAGCAAACTGAAAAAAAACATCACTGAAATTAGTAGCCTTTCTAGGTTTAAGTTCCATATTAGACGTAAGGATCTTACCGAACTGATAAATGGTAACAATTGCTCCGCGTGCGTAATTTGTACCTCTTAGGTTATATAATCTATAGCATATTTCCTATCATTAATTAGGTTATTCATCTACGTTGTGTCCCCAATTAGCGTCAGCTAAATACATTGACACATGAATAAAGTTCATCATCATCATCATCGATCAATCGATGCAAAGAAAAATTATAGTGGTGCACAAAACAATCAAATAAAAGAGGATTCTACAATTAACCAAGATGCTTACGAAATAATAAAACTAGAAAGACTGAAGAAAGCGGCGAATACTAACGAAACAATTGACTAAAAGAGAATTCTAAGAGTAACGGAGATACTAACGATACAATCGAACTATAACGCATCCTCAGAGTGCATGAGACATTAAAGAAACAATCGAGCTACAGAGAATTATAAGTTCGTACGAGATACTAACGAATCGATCTAACTAAAGAGACCACGAAGAAGGCGCGAGATATTAACGAAATTAACGACTTAAAGATAATTCTAGTTGCGTGCCAGATGCTAACGAAACAATCGAACTAAGGAGACTACGAAAAGTGCGCCATATACAAACAAAATGATCCAATCAAAGAGACAACGAAGAGTGCGCAAGATACTAACGAAACATTGAACAAAAAATCTACCAAGGGTGCGCAAGATACTAACACAACAATCCAACTCAAGAGAATTCTAAGAGTGTGCGAGATACTGACAAAAAAATCCGATTAAAAAGAATCTAAGAGTGCGCGAGATACTCTTGAAAAAATACGAACTAAAGAAAAAACTAAGAGTGCCCGAGATTCTCATGAAAAAATTGGAATGACGAGTATCTTCAGAGTGCGCGAAATAATTACAAAACATTCGAGCAAAAGAAAATTCTAATTCTAAAAGTGCGTAAGATCCTGGCAAGAAAAATCTAACTTAGTGAGAGGCTAAGAGTGCGCGAGATACGAACAAAACAACCAGACTAGGGACAATTCTCATAGAATGCAAGATATCAACGAAACAATCAGACTAAATTTAATTTTAAGGGTGCACGAGATACTAACGAAACAATCAGACTAAAGAGAATTCAAAGATTGGACGAGATAGTATCGAAAAAATTGGACTAAACAGAAGTTTTAGAGTGCATGAGACAACAAGAAACACTCGGACTAAATAACATTGTGCGAGATAATAACGAAACAATCGAATTGAAGAGAATACAAGAGTGCAGGAGATCCTAAGGAAACAATCCAACTACAGAGAATCCACAGAGTAAGTGAAATACTATCCAACAATTACAAACAAAGACCCTCCAATTATTGCGCGAGAGGCGGCCATCTAAAAGTTCTTACTATAAAAATATTAATTCAAAACCACATGATCCAACCTTGCAGAGCATTTTTTAATGATGTTAGTCTTTTCAAACTATCGTCGAGCTGTTTTTCTCTTCCCTCGGCATCTCGAGTTAGCGGGTTTCTCAGTACTTCAACCTGTACGCGCGTTGAAGTCATGATAACCTCGGGGAGGAAGGAACAGCTGAATTATACACTTTGCGACCGGATAGAGGGAAATATGTACTCTACACACTGTTCTGATGGCTACGCATGTTTATCTGTGCTTTTCTTTTTGTAGATTTACAATATCTCAATACACTTCTACATTACCTAGCCCGGTTTAGTTATCATTCTGTTTCTGTCAGTATGCTTAAAAAAAATTGGGTACGCAAATAGTCTTGTCGTTTCATTTCAATTTAAACAATGAATGTTTTACACTTTTTAAACATTATTTCACTCCATCTTTTCCTTTTTTCTTAAAGCTCACGGGCGAGGTTATCGCCACATTAACCAACGTTTTCTTAGTCAGAGATTTTTTCAGTTATTTCGAAATTACAAAAAACATGAATACAATTTTAATACGATAAAACGCATTTTGCAAACTCGGGTTGACGGACCCGCATCATTTGCCATTTGTGCAGTTCTTTGATTAAATTCACTTATTGTTTCATACCAGGACGACCCATCTTAAAACAAACTCTCCTTCCTCATATCCTAGATACTGCCTAAGGGTACAGATCAATGTTGGAAATCAGAAATCTCTACATGGAGGTCCGGCAAATTTTCTTTCAAAACCCCGAACTTGTTTTTCTATGCTGCACACGTGCTTGTCTAAAGCAACAACCAAGAGTTCTTTTTATAGCCTTTCGCATCTCAGGAAGTCGCCAAAAATATACCACAGGATTAAGCGATGAGTTTATGAACGTTACCGTCCCTGTGTATTGCAGTGCAACAAATTTGGTGAGACTTTGTCCTGTAAATTGAATTACAACGGCTACACATGCATATGGCGAAAAACAAAGAAACAGAATAAAGCAAACGTAAAACGTGTTTATGGCTGATTTCCTGAAACGGGCGAACTGCAATGGCGATGACGCTTCTCGTCCGATTCCGACTCGTACTTGAGATTGAATCTGGGCCTGGTGACGTCTCACAACGCGATAAATTTTAAAGTACATCAGAATAATGACTGTGAAGGAGATGAGGAAGGTAGCGATTCCAATAAAGTAATATGCGATAGTGTTCTGAGTCCACATAAATCCGAAAAATGCGGAGAAAAACCAACATAAAATGATTACCATTACGACTTTTTTCTTGGTAACAATGGCTTGATATCTCATATGCAGGTAAAACACCAGGTACCTATCTACACTTATCGTAGTTGCTATCATAAAAGACGACGCAGATGACACAACAGAGAGGACATCAAACGCCAAAGTGATTGGTCCCTCTTCATCGGAAACGAGGTACATCACAGTAGAAGCGACTTTTAATGGCTGAGTAACCAAACCCACCAGAAAATCCGTCAGTGCAAGACCAAACAATAACATGTTTGAAGGTGAATGAAGAGATGGGGTCCGCCAAATGACGATAAGAATGATTCCATTTCCAAACGCCGCTGGAAATGAACAAATGGCATTTAGAGCGCAGTTGATCGTTCTGTAAGTTTTTAATGTGGAGATGTCGTCATCCTGGATATTTGAATCAAGATGAACGGAGGACATTTCTCTTAAACAGCAAACTCGAGAACGTTTAACGTCTTCGATTAAACCACACTCCTCACACATGTTCAAATAAGTATATTCTATAATCCGCACCTATTTTCTAATGTACCAATGACCGCTAAGTAAATTTTATAGACAAACATAAGTTATCATTTCAAAATACACTTATTTACAATGTGGATTACTTTTTTGTCAGTTCCCATTTAAGTTTTTTAATACATGAAGCATTATACATGACATGAAATGTAGGAAGAATAAAACTATATCTTCCGGTGTTTCAAAACACCGGAGACACATCATAAATTAGGGATCTTTCAATTCGAAACTCGAGAATGAAGAGCAATTAGTAGTCAAAGTAATGGTAAATTTTCGAACGCACTTATATGATGGCTGACAAAACAGCTTAAGAGCTCGTAAATTTTTTCATATTTGTGTAAGCTGTACCAATTGTTCTTAAAAAATTGACGTATATTCAATTGCTCCATTGAAAATACGAACGGAGAACAAGTCATCTCATCTGTATTCGCTTTAGCAAACCAGAGCAAACAAAACATTCATTCGTTCACTGTCGATTTAATTGTACTAGTGGAAAGATCAACGTCAAATTTTCGATGAAAGGCATGCTTTCTCCTCAGTGAAATTCATTCATGTATAGTTGAGTGTGTAAATAAAGCATCGAATTAAGAAAGTATGCTACGCCCCATTTCGCGCGAACGTATAACGCTGAAGCACGATGTGATGACTTGCCGATGTGAAACCTCGATCACTTTCGGATGAAGCTTCAGACCCAGGATGCTGTTGATTGATCAATTTAACAAATGGAAATACATGGTTTCTCCTCTATCTCCAAGTGTCATGGCAACAGGCCTGCCACCTGCTGAAATATTGACTCGCATTCGAAACAAAGGTTTTATCCTAAGGGCGCTGAACTACACTGAACCTAACAGTGCTGCCTGTTTAAGCTTTAACTTATCTTCGTAAACTGTTTTGTAAGATTCATTTAGTATTTTTTTTTTCAGTTTTAATTTACCNCTTGCACTGACTGACTTCCTCGTTGGTTTAGTGACTCAGCCGTTAAATGTCGCCTCCTCTGTCATTTTCCTTGTCGAAAAGGAAGAAGGTCCAATCGCTCTTACATTAGCGTTTGATTTTATTTCTGCTGTATTGACTGCGGCATCTTTTATGATAGCAACTGCTATAAGTATCGATAGGTACCTTATATTCAATTGCTCCATTGAAAATACGAACGGAGAACAAGTCATCTCATCTGTATTCGCTTTAGCAAACCAGAGCAAACAAAACATTCATTCGTTCACTGTCGATTTAATTGTACTAGTGGAAAGATCAACGTCAAATTTTCGATGAAAGGCATGCTTTCTCCTCAGTGAAATTCATTTATGTATAGTTGAGTGTGTAAATAAAGCATCGAATTAAGAAAGTATGCTACGCCCCATTTCGCGCGAAGGTATAACGCTGAAACACGATGTGATGAGTTGCCAATGTGAAACTTTGATCACCTTTATGAAACTTCAGACCCAGGATGCTGTAGATTGATCAATTTAACCAATGGAAATACATAGTTTCTCCTCTATCTCCAAGTGTCATGGCAACAGGCCTGCCACCTGCTGAAATATTGACTCGCATTCGAAACAAAGGTTTTATCCTAAGGGCGCTGAACTACACTGAACCTAACAGTGCTGCCTGTTTAAGCTTTAACTTATCTTCGTAAACTGTTTTGTAAGATTCATTTAGTATTTTTTTTTTCAGTTTTAATTTACCACCTGGTGAGTATCACTAAGTTGTAATAAAGACCAATATTTTCCCACTAACACCCTACTCTACAGCATGCAATGAAAAAATGGCGTGCAGTGGATCAGATCGGGACTTCTTAAAGTAGAGAAATCGTCATACTGGATTATCAAATCAAAATCAGCGAACAACGTTTGGTTTAGGCAAGCCTTCTGTTATACATTTCCCTTTGTTAGCAATGGATGCTGGAATAAATTTGTTCTGCAAGGCGCACTTACATTCTAGGGAACAATAAACATTAAGTCAATCTTGACAAGAATGAAGTATTTACACTTATTATCCAACAACACTCCGTAGAGTACAAATAACGCCATAGACGAGTACAAATATCATGCGATATTTGTACTCCCCAAAACCAGTTGGACAGGTTTTTTTGCATCGCGCAAGCGAAGAATTGGATTGAAGTTACAAAAAGAAAGAAGTGGTGGACAATTTGAATTATAATTCTGAAAACGAAGAGTCGCAATGGCTGGCAAATATAGATACAAACTAGACGACCAGGAAATTTCTTCATTTACTGCAGAAAATAGAAACAGCAACACCACAACGCGCCAATTCCTTTCCGCTTCGCATACTTCTGTCACGCACTCCTCGTAAATAAATGTCCGCGGAATTCGCCCGAACTGAAATAACAATTTGACGTGTTGGATAATAAATAACTTATTAGACGTTTTGTTGTGTAGTATCGCTGGGTATTTTTACTCGTTATTTATATTTTGACTCGCCCTACGGGCTCGCCAAAATACGGCAAAACTCGTAAAAATACTCAGCGATACTACACAACAAAACGTCTAATACG